TTCATTATTCAATACTTGAATATTTTCTTTTTATATTTACTAACATCTCGTTAACTCAATATTACAGTACGTTAATGAACTAGAAATGAGTAGAGTGGAGTAATAAGATAAGTGTAATCATAAATAATGATTGAGTTGGTTAGTTAACTGAAGAATTTCTCATTCCACACCCATAACGTAATAATAATAATAAATGCGCACTCTACATCAATTCTTCTAGTTTTCAATCATTTTACATACAGAATAATAATTAGGAAAGGTGGAGCAGCATTGATCATGAATAATACAATAAGTTTGAATAGTAAAAATATACAAACACACTTCATTGTTTGGCGCTTACAACTATACGTGTATTAACTTTTTGAAGCATCTTCTTTTAAATATGTTGAACATTGTAAGAAAGTTTGTTCAGTTAAATGTTCAATCTGGTGAGACTATAATTTATGGACAACCTTTGAATGACGCTAAACTGACCCACCTAATAACTAGAACCAAATGAGGGTTATAAACCTGTGTAATCAATTAGAATTATGACTTATAGTTGATGGTTAAGGCTAGGATTTAGATTTAGGGTTTTCATCACAAATTAACATCAGCTCTAATGTCAAAAACTCTATTTATCCAAATGAATGAGTGATGAATTTCACGTCAAAATGCGAGACCTGTTATCTTATACATGATTGGTTCGTCCATAAATTATAGACTCGCCAATTATAATACCATTTCATCTACCACCTAGAAATTAGTATTCCAAATTCTTTTTTAATTATTTTTTATTGTTTTAAATTTCATACATTTAATGACTTTATATAGTTAATAATTAGTTAGAATTAATTAAATTTTGTGGTATTATAAATATCTGCTTAATGAAGAATTAATGGTAACTTGTTCTATGTTTAGTCCTATTCACTCATTAACTTACATATTACACTGATTCACAAACTTTTTTAAGTACATTTACAAGTTTGACTATAAAGGTTAAGCGTTTGAGCGCGAGACTGATAGATCCTGAGTTCGAATCTCGCGAGGTGGGATCGTGAATGCTCACTGTTGAGAAGTGCCATACTAGGATGAAATGGTTGTCCAGTGCTTCCAGGTTTTCCATGATGGTCTAGCTTCAATTGACTCATGAGTCCAATTATTAAATTATAATAAGAATATTTATTAAATTAAGAACTGATATAAATAATAAGTTGATAAATTCACATTAATGAACTATGAATAAACAAAGGATAAGAATAGGAAACATGTTATTTTTTGTTTTTTGTTTATTTTCATAAGAATTAAACAAACTGGAAAACAAAATAGGTCTTATTTTAATTTTGAATGGCTTTTATTATAATAATAATAATAATAATAATAATAATAATAATAATAATAATAATAATAATAATAATAAAGTTTACTTTAGTCAATATCGTGACTTGTTTTTTCCGTTAAGTTGCCATTATGAAACGATTGACGAAAATGTTCAAGAATATACTACTAACGGGAATGAATAATAGATAACAATTACTAGCATTGATTAGTAGTATGTTTGATTAGCTGATTTCAATCATGTAATGATAATAATCAACCATTTGTGATAGATTATTCTTGTAGAGGTTAGATTATCATTATTACCATTATCATTGTAATAATTTGATTTGAATTTATTGAATGGAATTTTACACTAATAATCTCTTCTTATCCACAAATTGTATCATCTTCAAAAATTAGAGAAATTATAATAAGAGAAAAAATGTTGTAATCAGATTAACGGGGAAGTCCCTAAATTTGTAGATTGTTTCGATCGCCCATCGGTCTGATGTTGGGTACCGTTGAAAACTAGGGAACATTTGACATCCATCTAATTTTTATATGGAGCACCTCACTAGGGAAGATCAACAATCATATGGGGATCGAACCCAGGACCTTCATATTTCTCTGAAAATGTTTAATCATTAGAACCACAGAGTCGACATGTAATGGTACCGTTCCAACGTCGGTAAATTTGTTATATAGCTCAATGGTTATCCAATCCCATTGTTGACAATTGTTTCACTTCCGATATATCTAAACTCCTCGTTAGGACGAATACTACCTGCAAATTAAAGCGATTTCCGCAAAACCCTTTCAAATATATCAACAGATACTTCATTTAATCAATAATTAATTTAGTTGATCTATTGTTATAGGAATTGTTGTCTCTTTGTTGTGATGTGCCAATGTACTTTGGTATAATATAAGAATTATTGTGAGATAAATTAATGGTGATATTTTCAGTAAAGAATGCAAGGTTTTCAGCTCACCTATTCTATTTTTTTGCCTAAATGTACTTTTATTCTACTTTCATTACGTGAAATACTTTGAGTGTTATTTTATTTATTTTATCACCACCACAACAACAACATCTTTCATTCACCTAAAGAAACGTGATTAGCGTTTATACTTGATTTTTCTTTCTATTGAGCATTTATTTGCTGAAACAAAGATTTTATAGTTAAATGATGATTATACTTACTTTGTACGCAAATAATATTTTATTATTGAATAGTAGTATCCTTGTTAACATTTTACTTACACGTATAGTGACTGGCTTCAAGATATATATCCTGGAGTTCTAGTGAGAAGCAGTGGAGTTCAACCGGGTCAGTTGTGAGGTAGTAACTCACTGATGACAATGGTGGATGTGTCGCTCAATTTCGTGGATTAGTTGAAGTTAGACATTAACACCAGTGGATGCTGACCGGCTCAGTGGTCTAGTTGGTTAAGCGTCTGGCGCGAGACTGTTCGGTCCTGGGTTCGAATCCCACGAAGCGGGGTCGTGGATGCGCACTGCTGAGAAGTCCCACAACAGGACGAAACGGCCGTCCAGTGTTTCCAGGTTTTCCATGGTGGTCTAATTTCAATTGAATTATGATCTCAACTGTTTAAACTCTTACTAAAATCTCCACAAAACCCCTTCTGATACAAATATTATTAGTCATTACTTAGTAAGTTTGTAAAACACAGTTATGGGATTAAGAAATATAAACCATAAAATCACTTCTTATAATTTTATATCCGGTTGTTGGATATTAAATGCTTCTACCATTTACACGAATACCGCTTATTGGTCCCGAATGACTTTAAATTTGAGCAGGGAATAAGATAATTTCATTTGAAAAATAACATAACCAATAATAAATTTTATTATGTTTTCCTGACATTTTCTCATTTTATGAGATTACATTTATCAATGCTTGTCTATAGGATTCAAAGTAATGGAGTTTGTGTTAGTAATATAATACCATTATTCTATGGGATTGTAGTTATGACAAGATTTTACGTTTCTCAATGAGATATAGTACGTATAAGGTATTTGACTTTTTTATGTGAAATTGTTCAACACACGGAACAACATGTTTATCACTACTAAACTGTAAACCAAAAAGACAGCAAATCGAATATCACAATTCAATACAATTGAACTTATGATTCATGATCAGAATAAATATGGGTCAGGTAGGGTGAGAGAAATGATAGTGCAATTACAATTTGATTAATTGTTTTTTTTCTAACCAAGCTAGAAAATGGTCCATGCAAAAAGATTATTCAAAAATTCACATTTTACTGTCGATATATGGAGGATACGTGCATCCTCTGTAAAGATAATACATCACAGCAAGATGTTCTTAGACAGCTTGATAAAGTACATCCAGCCATTAGTCTACATCTGAAGAAGAGAGTGATGGTAGAATAGCCTTTTTGGACGTGCTTTTAATTAAAAGATCTGATGGATCAATAAAAAGAAATTTAAACAGAAAAAATTCCTGGACAGGCAGTACACACATTTCCGTAGCTTTGTACCTCTAAAATACAAAAGAAACCTGGTCCAAACTCTTGGTTACTGAATACACACTATATGTTCTACGGATATAGTTGAAGAAGAGCTAAACACTCTGAGAACGGATACCATAGAAAGTTTCTAATTAAATATATGATAACGAAGAGGAGAATAGGCGAAATACAAACATTGAATAAGAAACCCCTGTTAATGTGCCTACAATTCAGAGGGGATGCGGCTAGCGAAATATTAACTCAGAGATTACGCATAATAATCCAAAAATCTTTCAACGCCGGAAAAACTACGATTAGTGTTTACTACTCACCCAATGGTGACCCCGAGGATATAAGATGAATTACCTAGAATGATCACCTAATTTTGTATTTCTCATTTCGACTGCCTCTGTGGAATAAGTTATATTGGTCGAAGTTCTAGGAATTTACAGTTTCATGCTCGCGAACACCTCCCAGTATGGCAGTGAACAGCTCGATACTGGCCCATTTAGTGCAAACTGGTCATAGTGCCAGTACAAACCAATCCTTTTCAGTAATTGTTTACCAAAGCTTGTCAGACTTGAAGTCCTTCAAACTGCTGAAGTAGTAGCCATCTGGGTTAAGAATCCGGAGCTTTGTGTACAAAAGAAAAATCTTCAACCGCTTCTCCTCCCCTGATCATCATCAAAGCCAATTAATCAATAGTAATCTTAGCTATTGAATGACCTAATTTGACTATTGTACTTACGACCTTTCATAGTCTAATGTAATTGTCTCTGTTATCTTTATTCACAAATCTTTGTAATTTTATTGTTATTATTATTATTACTATTGGTTAAACATCATTATTAATCTCCCCAATACATGATTCATTCAATTCGCATTCATCCCAGCTTATTATGTCTTACTAATATTTTTTTACACAATATAATCTTTCACTAAACATTTGACCGAATTGTAATTGCACTATTATTTCTCTCACCCTATCTGACCCATATTTACTCTGATCATGGTTCGTAAATTTGCACTTAACATATAAGTTGATTGAAGTTAATATTCCATATGAGTCATATCAGCATTAACAATGGGATTTTTCTTATTCAGATTTCTATATTTATTTGTGATTTAAATCTACGTAACTATGACTAACAATACTTATCATGTCTCTGTTTCTCTATTCTCTCTTATTTTTATTACAGCCACCACAATCTCGACATGTAAGTCATTTTATATTTTAATCAGTTTTATTGTATTCAAAAAAGAAATGTCTTTATGATATCCCCACGTTGTATTCATCACACACAGATTGATCTCAGTTGAAGTATCATTGGAAATTAAGAGGCAATGGATGGTTGTTTCGTCCTAGTATGAGACTCCTAATCAGTGAACGCTAACGATCCCTTCAGTGATTGAATCTCAAACCTGATACTTTAACTGAGATTAATCTATACCTAATATAGCCTAAAAATTCAACCAGTCTTCACAAAACTTCTCTATTTGCATTTTATCACCGTTTAAATGTAGTTAGTCTTTTGTTTACCTTCTAAAATGGTAAATTGATTCAGAGTTTTATATTCGTAAAATGTCCAAGGCTTGACAATACTACATGGTTGTCTGCTGAAGCCTTGGTAGCCGAAGCAGATGTGAGCTTGTGATCTTTTTGCTGAAGGCTAGTTGAATCGTATAATTGAAGTTATTTGATGAATACACTCATTGTTTCTACAGGTACTCGTTGTAGCTTAGTATTTTATTTTTTTAAAATCTAAATTTATATAATTTATTGTAGTCTACGTATAATAGTGTGTTGATTAATATTTGTCATTCTATTCTAATTTCTATCACCTCTGTTTGCTTAAGGTACTTGTCAATTTAGAGGACTAGCGACAAAATGATATGATATTATTCGGAACGTTTACATTTAATCACAGATAACAATTAATTCATCGCTGAAAAATGACCAATGTCATTTTTCTCTAGTTCTTTAGTGCTGACAGAATTCAGTCGATCAATTTGCAATCTATTCTACCGGTCTGAGTGACTTGGCGTCGCGTGTACTATTTTTAGATGTTAGATGGTTGGAGGTATTTGAACAGAAACTCTTCTTGGTTCTGGTTTCTTGCTGGTTAGAACTCGTTGGTAAGGGATACCTGCAATCTTGATGGATGTAATACTTCCTCTGGTGCTCGATTTCTAGTCACTCAGGCTAGTAACCATGCTACTAAATGTTCAATTGAATTCGATCGACGCTGAAGGACTAGACAATTAAGTACATCGGTCAATACTCGGTGATCAAGCAATGGTAACTATTTCACTTCTATATTGGGTCATTTGCGGCCTAAATAGCTCAGGGATAGGATTTTAGATAGTGAAGCTGAATGGTGCAGATTCAAGTTCCCAAGGATCATCAGTTCCATGAAGATTGCAAGCATCCCTTGTCGATGAGTCCCATCTAGCACAAAACCAGAGTTTCCTGCTAACTACCTCTGAAAACCTAAGATTGAGTATTACCCTAGTTTCATGGTCAAGTTTAAAGTAGTCAGTTCAGCATGAAGCTGGTCGACTCATTATTAATGGTGGAGTAGGTCAATTATTAATTTAACCATAATACAAGATTAAGAAACACACATGTTTTGTAATATACCCCGTATAGTTTATGATTTGTTTTAAAATACTGATACTACAATTTAGCTCAATTAATATCAAGTTTTCGTCTACCGACTTTTAACTTCATCATTGTAAAAAGTTAACTGACAAAGTCTGTTAATGTTTGCGCACCGATTGCAATTACAAATTAGAACATGTGTTTTTTGGATTATAATGACAACTAATAGCAAGTATTATTCTTTTTAACAAAGTATTAAGCAGATTTGCCGGTATTTTAAATATTGGTCTGAAAGTATGTTATCAGTACAGAGATTTGTGAAGATTGTGATATTTTCACAGTTGTAATCACAAGTCGATCTAAGCTAGACCACTATTGAAAACCTACAAACACTGTATGGCCGTTTAATCGTAGTATGGGACTCCTCAGAAGTGCGCATCCATGGTCCCGCACACGGTACTTAAGCCCAGGACCTTCGGTATCGCGCACGAACATTTAACTTCTAGATCACTGGTGATCTAGTTTTGATCGACTCGTGATTTCAACTATGAAAATATATTTCATCAATCAGATTTCGAACCAACTTAAACTTTGTGATTTTATCATCATCTATATATCTTGTCAGTCTGAGTTATTTTTGCATAATAATACTATTACGACTTGATATCGGGATTTAGTTTGGGCCTACAGTAATTTTCTAATTACAAACAGCTGAGTTTTCCTTCGATACGAATAGGAAATTATGCGGACTCAATGGTATATGGTACTGTCATGTACAACTCTTCAACCATTATTACGGAAAAGGTTTGATATTTTAACGACCCCAAGTAGTTGAAGTTGAGTTGGGACAACTCTGTATACAGTAACATACAAAATGACCTTGGAACTCATCAGTGGCAACAACTGATCAGAAGGTAGCAAAAGTCATTGAGAATCAATTCAAATGAGAAATAATAAAATGAGTTGGCTAGTTAACTTAGTTCTGATAAAGTCAAATGAGATTGATTAAAGTAATCGTCGATACAAACATTTAAATAAGGTAACAATTTCATATTACAGAGACATATTTAGTCTTAGTTGTTTTCCGTAACACATTCTATACAAACAAGGGTAATACTGAAGAAACACTGTGCCAACATATGTCGATCATCAACAGTTGTGAAGAGACAGGAACTTCATTATGGTGTACATATATACACACTATATCCATTGAAACTGTAGATTTGCACACATTACATTTGGTGTTTTAATTCATTTTAAAAATCGGATTATTCAAATTATTAGCTTTGTACTATTTCACTTCTCTAAAAAAAAAACACTCAAGTGTTGTATGAGCTGAAACTTTTTCTGTATCTATGTAAATTGATATGATCTACATGTATCCATTTCTTGTTGTCTTTCATTCTCTTATATTTCAATTTTCCAAATGTTTCTAACATCATATTGTAATATAACACATATATGGGTATCTGAGCCCATTAATACTGCATGGTGGTGGGTATCAAAATATTGAAAGATTACACTAAATTGTTTGTTTATAATTCTGTCTCGTTACAATTATGTTATAAAACACACAGACAGACAGACATAAAGAATGTGCATTGACTATTTTAGTGTTTACATAGAAATCAACACTTATGGTGATGAAAAAAAATTGAAATCAGTTGTGTTTGTGTTTTAAATAGATAAATGAGTTCATGCATGTGCATATGTTGCATAGAGGTTTTGATACTACTATTGTTACATATCGACAGAATATAATAATGAGTCATTCTCTAATGGTAACTTTGAAATTACTTAAATACAAAGTTGAGTTGTTGATAATCAACTTTGTGTTAAGTTACGTGATAAGTTGTTTTTGTTTCTTTCTAATTTAAGTAGTAAATTAACTTGAGTTTTAAATTAAAATGTACATTTGTTAAGTTTTAATTGTCTAGAAAGAAAAAAAAAAGACATTTTTGTTTAGATATCTGATGAAATGTAATTCTAATTAGAATATTGTTTAATCCGAATAAGTTTCAAGAATATTCATCCATCACAGTTAGATTTCTAAGTGGAATACATGTAAACTTTCTTATCTTCTGTAGATATAACCTGTAACTACTGGTTTATGAAATCTCAAGTTTCTATCAATAAAAGTTATGACACGGCGAGACTATAACTTATGGACGAACCAATTACGTGTAAGATAACAGGTCTCGGATTTTGGCACAAAATTCTCTCATTTCTTTGGATAAATAGAGTTTTGGCGTTATAGCTGATGTCAGTTCGTGATGAAAAACCTAAATATAATTTCTAACCTTAACCATCAATTGTAAATCATAATTCTAATTCATTACACAGGTTTATAACCCTCATTTGGCTCTAGTTATTAGGTGGGCACTCTCAAGATCAATCTAGCGTCACTCAAAGATCGTCCATAAATTATAGTCTCACCTCTATCTGTAGTAAGATTATGAGCATACATTGTAGAAGAATTTTATACTAGGACGAAACAACTATCAGTAATATCCCCATTGAGATTACTCTATATAGAATACAACTTACTATCTATGGCATTGTCAGTATCTTTTGAAATTGTGGCTATATTCGACAAAATTACTTTTTTTCTATATGTTTTATATTCTGATAATTAGCACATTTCAGCACATAACTGAAAGTCCAAGGTAGTTCTGTTGCACTAACTGTCGCAAGAAACATTTTCAGAGAACGTTATCCATTTGGTGATGAAATGATACTCTTTTTTTTTAAAAAAAAAAGTCAACAATGGGTTTTTTTTCTATTATTTTATCATCCTAACATTATCATTAGTGTTGTTGTCATTATTTTTATTATTGTCATTGGTGTGGTCGTTGAGTCTCTTCTTTTTCTTGAAAAAAAAGTAACGATAACATCTACTGCTCATTTTACCTACTGATGTTCTTTTTTCTCTCATTTTGTTTGTAATGATGATTATGAGTGTGTCAGTCTTCAATTTGACGTCACTTACATTATAAATAAGGGACGATCGCCTATTTATTTTTACGAAATTTCCAGAAAAAGTTAACAATTAATTCTTTCTTTTTCTGTATTGAATAAGGCAATTTCATTTGATTGAGATCATGAAGCGATTGATGTTAGACCACCACTGAAAACCTGGAAGCACTGGACGGCCGTTTCGTCCTATTGTGGGACTCCTCAGCAGTGCGCATCCACGATCCCTCTCGCGGCCGTCCAGTGCTTCCAGGTTTTCAATGGTGGTCTAACACCAATCGGTTCATGATCTCAATCAAAAACTTAATCTCCACAACCACTATACTGATAATTTCATTTGAATGTGTTCGCCAATCAAAAAAGTATTTTAAGACTGTAACTATTTGAAGTAATTATGTTTTTATACGTATATTTTCGTATTAATACCATTCAAATATATATGAATATTTAAAGTGACATAGAGTAATAATTAGATCGCAAAATTTAATCGTTTACATCACGGACTGATTTTAGCGAATACATCAAGGGAGCATAATTAGATAGTTGTTCCATTTTAGTGTTGTACTTCTAAGGAGTGAGCAGCGATTCACAGTTCAGCCATGTCAGGAAGGGAAGCCTAGTGAGACAGTTACCACTGATATA